ACGTCTTTTCACACACACACACACACACACACACACACACACACACACACACACACACACACACACACAAATCCTGAAAGAAAAAAAAGACAGAATGTTCAATGCAACCCCTTTTCTGTGGGTTTGGCAGGAGCCCCACCATAGACTCCAACAACATAGTAAAATGGCAAAATAAAATGTCAGTCCCCGTAAGGACCTGGATATCCTCTTATCACCATGCTATAAGGGATGCGGCCTCCTCTACAGTCCTCCAGAGCTTTAGCCCTCATCGGCTGCTGGGGTCAACACTCTTTATTACTCATTTACTTATTTCATACCTTTTGGGGTGCTGGGGATTGAACCCAGGGCCTTTGCATGCTAGGCAAGCACTCTACCACTGAGCTACATCCTTGACATCAACTCATGAGAGAGACAAGATGAAGCATCTGGGGTCCACAGCAGGTCACTGTGGGAAGCAGCTGAGCTGCACCTTCTCAGCCACTGTCTGGTTCCCATCCTGCCTCCAGGCTCCATCTCTAGAATGGAGTTCAGACAAATCAAGGGCCCGGAGAGCCCTAGCCTGACGTCACGTATCCCTCAAACAGGCTTGTTTCCAAATCGATCTTCTCCAAACTAGAATGTCCGGTCCCCTTGGAGTCAGAGACACATATATCTTCTCTGACGTCCCTCCCTCTTCCCTCCGGTGCCCAGCATTATGGGGAGCACGCTTTACACACATCAGAGCCTGAGGCTGGGGAAAGGCTGATGATGAGCAGCCGACATGGAACCCGGCAGCCATCGGCCAACCTCGTGCGTGCGGGGAGCATCCGCTTACCTCTTGGGCTGCTTCTGGGAATACACCAGTAGGTACTTCACTCGCAGAAGCTGGTTGTTGGTGACGACAAAGTACTTGGGAGGGACATCTCCCCCTTCGCTGTGCCTGATTCTCGCTCTGCTGCGGTCGATCTCCTTGGAATCTGAAGGAGGAGAGTGAAGCACGCTTTGTCGGGTGTTGTGTCGGGGTGGGGAACACAGTAACCAAAGAAGCAGATTAGGAAGAGAGAGGAGTCCAGGCCCGTGGTCCTGAGGCATGGAGGTCACAGGCTGGGGAATGCACCTGTGTCCGGGGGTGCACAGAGAACAGGAGACTCCGGCAGGCAGAAAGACAAACGGGGGGGGGGAAGAATAGGAAAATGGAAGACAAGAAAGCTGCAGAATGGAGACAGCACAAGACAGCCGCACACTGAAGGCTGCAGCAGCAGATCGACATCACATACCCCAGGACCAGGACCAGGACCCGGACTCATCCTGGAGCAAAGCTGGAGGAGGACCGCTTATTTATGTATCTGTCTAGAGTCAAGTCTCCTGGACCTGAACTCAAGAACTAGCTAAGGGTGACCTTGAACTTGTGACTCTCCTGTCTCCACTCTGGGTGTTGGGCTTGCAGGCCCGTACCACTGTACCAGGTTGATGCTGTGTTGAGGGTGGAACTCAGGGCCTCACACTTGCCAGCGGCTACTCTGCCAACGGAGCTACAACCCCATGGCCCAGGAGGCGTTCTGAATAAACCACACCAGATCCGAGTTCTCAGAACACTCTTCCCCAAGCCTGGTGGAGCACACCTTTGACCTCGGCACTGTTTTTATTTTTTGTTTTTGACAGGGTCTCACTGTGTAGTTCTGGCTGTCCTGGCACTCACTATGTAGACCCGCCTGCCTCTGCCGCTCAGTGCTTGAGAGGGAGACAGATTGAGACAGAGGTAGATTTCCTGTGAGTTCAAGGCCATCCTGGTCTACATAGTGAGTTCCAGGACAGCCAGGACTACAATGTAGTGAGAGTCTGTCTCAAAAACCACAAACACAAAAACAAACAAACACTCCCGCCACTCCAAGACTTTTGTTTGAACTTGCTATGTAGCCGAGAGTAACCGTTAACTCCCAACCTCCTGTCTATGTCCCAAGTACTAGAATTACAGGTATTTGTCACCACGCCCTGCCCAGGATTTAAAAAGAAAAAAAATGTTTTTTAAACACAGGATCTCATTCTGTGGCTTCATTTAGACTGGAACTATGTAGACCAGGCTAGCCATGTACTCAGAGAGATCAGCCTGCCTCTGCCTCCTAAGTGTCAAGATTAAAGGTGTGTGCACCACCACGCCTAGCTTTATTCTTTTGTGTTTGTTTGTTTGTTTGTTTGTTTGTTTTAGGGTTTTGTTGGAGACTGGGTCTAATGTAGCCAAGGCTGACTCCAAACTCACAGTATAGCTAAGGCTAGCCTTGATCTGCTGATCCTCCTGATTCTGCTTCCTACCCACTGAGATCACAGGCTCGTCCCATCACACCCAGCAAAACTTGTTTGTTGTTTTGCTTTTTTGTTGTGGATTTTATGTGTATGTGTGCGATGCTGAACCCAGGGCCTTTTGCACATGCTAAGCAAGTACTTCATCTCTGGTCTGAGAGGGAGGAAGAGAGAACACTCTCTTTTCTTCTAATAACACGAAAAGGCTTGGGCAAACACAAGCCAGGGCTCCGTGGCAGCAGAGGCTGAGCGGTCTTGTTTTGATGTTTGAGGTCCCCATATGCAGACTTGCTAAGAATTACGAATGCGAGTGAGCGTTCGTGCTGTCTGGTTGGGAGGATGGCGTCAGACCTGGGCCTGTTCCTCGGGTCCAGTTGTTTCACATTAGAGGCCAGAACAGTTTGTGTCTTGAATTCTCCTCTTCTTAGTAAAGCCAACAGCCCAGTTTGGAGACTGGAAGGACGGTCCTGTGACTCTTCTGCCTGGGGGAGGGTGGCCCAGAGGGACACCTCAAGCCAGTGGAGTTGAGGTGCCTGCTAGCGATCTGCTCCTGGAGAGTCCATGGCCTCAGATGCCCCCCTGGTCATCCGGGAATTCCAGCACACTCAAGTGTCGCTCAGAGGATCTGGACCCATCATCCTTAGTGTTCGTTGAGCAAACATTTATTGAATGTTAAGTGTATACCAGGTTCTCTGCTGATGCAAGTGCCCAGAAATAATACCAAAATTCAGATTCCCAGGGAGCCCTGCTCTCAACTTACATAGGAGCTTCTGTTTGGCAAATCTTTTTTCTTTGTTTTCAGTTTTTTGTTTTTTTTTTGGTATGTATGTATGTATGTATGTATTTATTTATTTATTTGGCTTTTCGAGACAAGGCTTCTCTGTGTAACAACCCTGGCTATCCTAGAACTGGATTTGTAGACCAGGCTGGCCTCAAATTCACAGCAATCCACCTGCCTCTGCCTCCCGAGTGCTGGGATTCAAGATGTGAGCCACCACCCAACTATTCTTTCTTTCTTTTTTTTTTTTTGTAATTTTTATTTTATATGTGTGAGTGTTTTGCATGAATGTATGTATGTTCACCACATGTCTGGTACCCATGAGGCCAAAAGAGGATGTTAGATTCCCTCGAACAGGGCTCAGGTCCTCTGGCAGAGCAGCAAACACTCTTAACCACTGAGCCTCCATTTGTCACATCCTGCCTCCTTCCCCAAGCTTTTCCTGGATGCTTGGACCTACTCAGCTGCCCCTTGTCAGCCCGTCCCCAGCACTCCCCGACTCCTACCGGTAGCATGCGATCTTTTTCTATCACGTGTTCAATCCCTGAGAAGCCATTTCCCTCCTTGAAGACCAGCCTCTGTCCTGCACTGCTCTGGACCAACCCATCCCTAAGCATGCAACGGCCCGCCACTCCACACCTGGGCCAGTAGCAAGTGCCTGCAGCCAGGCCTGGGTCACGTGCTCACTCACCCTTCTTCTTGGTTTGGCACTTGACATCTGGATGATCGATGACCTCACACACGGCTACACAGCTAAGGATTGGTCCAAGGAGGCTATGCTGCCAACCATGGCCGTGAGGACTGTAAATGAGGGCCAGGCTCAAGTCACTTGTGAGGTAGGTCCCTTCCCCAAACAAAGATGTCTGGAAGAGCAGAGGCGAAAAGAAACACACAGAAGTGAGTGGAGAGTGGACGTCACCAGATGGCATACGCTGCTCTTCCACAGAGCTGTAAACATAAACATTTTCACAGTCTCCCACTCCTTTAAGACAAACAACCTCCAATGTCATCATCATAGGGCTTATTACTAAGCATGTTCCCATCTGATAATGGTTTAACTGACTGTGGATTTGGCCACCTAGCCTGGCAAAGGAGCTGTACCTTGTGGTCAAGGTTGAATGGAAAAAACAACATCAATATCAGAGTTCAAACAGACCTCCGTTTCCATGTTCCAACGAATTACATAAATTCTGATGTTTCGGCGTCTACATCTACAAAATGGTGTGAAAGTTCCTCCTCCATAAGCTTATGACCCTGATTCAAAGACACAATAGGACTGGGGGTGTACACAGTGGTGGAGCTCTTGCCTAAGCATTCAGTCCTCAGCAACACACACACACAGACATATGTACATAAAACAATGTGCATTCAAAGGCTACCTGGCACCTAAGAGGTGGTGACGGCCTCAGGCGGACACACCACCACGGGTGCTGCTGTGATAATAAACAGTCATTCCCATCATATCAACGCGTGACACATAGCCACACTGAGGGGTTTGCAGAAGCAGAGCTACATCCTGTTACATGAATAAGAAATGAGTCTCCGGGCGGTGGTGGCGCACGCCTTTAATCCCAGCACTTGGAAGGCAGAGGCAGGCGAATCTCTGTGAGTTCGAGGCCAGCCTGGGCTACCAAGTGAGCTCCAGGAAAGGCGCAAAGCTACGCAGAGAAACCCTGTCTCAAAAAAACAAAAAAAAAAAAAACAAAAAAAAAAAAAAAAAAAAGAAAGAAATGAGTCTCTCTGACCAGAAACTGGGACTAAATGACGGAGCGGCCATGGGGGCAGAGCAGAGTTTTACCCTGTGTTGGCGTGGGCTAAGAGAACATCTGAGGATGTAGGGGTGCAGCTGCCTGACAGGGGGAGTGAGTTGGCTCCTCCTTAAGGAAGAGTGGCGGGTGGAAGCTCTGGCCAGCGGAGCCTACGGCGGGCACAGGGAACACAGGCTTCCTTGGCTACCACAGGCACCGACAGCTGATGACCTCTCGGTCACAGTACCGTCCATCCTGGTGCTTAGTCACACTGACTCGGAACACCTCTCACCACATCCCAGAAGCTTCCATCAGCGGATGGACTTTGATACTCAGGTTGAAATTCGACTTCTCTCTGTGGAAGCCAGTATCTTAGACGACACCGAACTCCACGGAGTTCACTGAAATACATCCTCTGCTCTGGAACTGAGAAATCGCTACCCTATGGCTTGGGGCAAATGAAACAAACCTCTGCTTGACCTTCGGAAAGCTCCCATGCCAAGTTGGACAATGTCCCCATCTCTCAAAAGCTGACACAGACAGTCTCCAGGGGCAATGCACACCCTCTGATCAGACCCCATAGAAGTTTTCTCTTTCTTTTTAAAAATAATTATTCGCTCTCTCTCTCTCTCTCTCTCTCTCTCTCTCTCTCTCTCTCTCTCTCTCTCTGTGTGTGTGTGTGTGTGTCACACACAAGTAAGAAGACAACTTGTGGAAGCTGCTTCTCCCTTAAGCCATATGAGCACCTGGGATCAATCTCAGGTCACCAGGATTAGCAGAAGTCACCTTTACCCATTAAGTCATTTCTCTGTCCCTGTACGTTAATCCTCTACTTAAGTCCTACAGATGTCTTCAGCTTCTGCGACTTAAAACCTTGAGCCAGGCTGCTGTGAGTGGAGAGCACAAGAGAGTCCTAGGGCATTTCTACCCCACAAGGTAACTTCACACCTTTTTCCCCCTGGTACATGGGCCCTCAAGAGAGCCCCAGAGTATAAACTTCGGGCAACTTCTCCAGGGTAAAACAGAGACCCCTGGATTCCAGTAGCCTGGCCATAGCAGGAAGCCCAGGGCCAGCATAAACAAGCCAGTCATCCTCAGCAGAACCCACCAGCACTAATCAGATGCAGCAGGGTTGGAAGCAGCTTCTCCAGCCTCGGGGCTACATCAGCCCCAGCTGAGTCCAGGCTCCCGGAGCCAGCCCATCAAGACATGACAGATGCTGCCCTGCCTGGGGAGGGGCCCCAGCACCCACTACCTCAGATGGCCTCTCCACGGGCCTGCAATAGCTGCTGCTGCTGCTTCTCCTGGAGCTTAGGAAAGGAGGAGGCCTTTGTACCCTAAGCCGCTCCAATCCTTTCGTGTGCTCAGAGGGCAGAGGGCAGCAGTGCCATGCAAGAGGGAACAGACCAGGACAGCGTACGTTCCTTTGCCCAGGCCGGCATGGCTGCCCATGCCTGTTTAGCTATAATAGATGTCATCCTTCCCCTCCTTCCTAAGGGGGAGAGTCAGTGTCAGAAGGAAGAGGGTGATGGGCAAGTTCTGATTCATAAATACGAGAGGAAAACAGTTCCAGGGGAGGGCCTCCTCTTGCTGAATCTTGGCACACCCCGCAGCAATTTCTCAGGGCTGACAGAAGCTCAGCCCTGCTTATGGTTGTCTGGGGATCCTGTTCAAGTGCGGGTTCCCACCGTGTTATCTAAGGCAGGCCTGAGGCTTCACATTTCCAACAAAGTGTTCCTGGGTAATGCTTAGGCGGCTGGTGTGGTCCAGGGTCCACACTGTGTGACCAGGGGCGGTCACACATTAAGACCACTGGAAGAGTTGGTAAGGCGTATACTGATGGGCACCACCCCCGCAGAATCTCAATTAATTGGTCTGGGATGCAGTCAGCATTGGGGTTTTCACTTGTTTTTGTGAGACAAGGCCTCATGTAGCCCAGGCTAACATCAAACTCCCTATGTAGCCCAGGATGACCTTGAACTTCAGATCCTCTTGCCTCCACTTCCCTAGTGTTAGGGTTATAGGCAGTCAACACCACATCATCTGGTGTTGGGAACTGAACTCATACCAAGGAGACATTCTACCAACCGGGTTACATCCCAAGCTCTCCAGTACTGGTGTTTTTGTTTTCTTTATTTTAAATCTTTTATTTATGTTTGTGAGTCTGCCTGTCTATTTGGGTCCCGTGTATGTGCAGTGCCCGTGGAGGCCAGAGAGGGTGTCGGATAACGACAGCTAGCCACCCAGTGTTGAGCCTGGGAACTGAACCCAGATCCTATGCAAGAGCGGCAGGTACTCTTAGCGGCCGAGCCACTTCTCAGCCCCAGCGCGGGATTTTTAAAAGCTTCCCAAGTGATCTAAATGTAGAGCTAAGGCCAGAAACCATGATTCGTCCCCAACCATAACCAGCGCAGGAATCTCCCAGATCCTGTCAAAACGCAGCTGGCCCCAGGATTCAGAAGGGCGGCAGTAGGCCTGCGATGCTGCATTTACCCAGGTGGCCAGGTGACTGCACTGCCGGCCTGCAGACCACTCCAAGCTCCAAGCGCTATGGCCTCAGTAAACCCACCTGCCATGTACCCCCCACCAAGCAGTCCCCTGACTCCCACGCTCCTCAGCGGGGGAGAGGGGGGGAGGCCCACCTTGTTCAGGTGACAGTGTAGACCATTGTGGATGATGGAGTGGAAGTTCTCTAGGCGGCTGCCATGGAAGGCATAGATGAGGTCTCGTTCTCCTTTGGTCTCATAAAATCGGGCGTTGGCTGGGTCAAAGTACTCGATTTCAAAAAGGAAGTCCGGGGTGGGAACCGGCGAGCGAGGGGCACCAGTCAGCTGCTGGATCTTTTCGAACTTGAAAACATGAAAGAGAAACGTGAAGGGAGTCATGGTTTCCTTTGGGACACTGGTAAGTGTGCTGCGGTGTGTCCTCTTAATGGCCAGTGTGCTGGCACAGGCCTAGCTCAGTACTTAGGAAACAGACAGGAAGGTTGTGAGTTCAAGCTCATCCTCAGCTAGATGTCAAGTTCAAAGCCAGCCTGGGCTACATGAGACAAAAGAAGGGATGGAGGAAAGAAGGTAAGGAGGGGAAGAAGGGAGAAGAGAGACAAAAGGCCTCCTAAAACCTTGGGCTCCCCCACCCCCAATCAGCTCGCCCATCAGAACAATTAGTTTCCTAATTCTGAAGATGTTCCTCTATAGTCAAACTCAGGGCTTCTGACAGCTCAAGAGGGCTTCTCTCTAAGGACACTTACAGGCGAGAGAGAAGTATGAACTGCTCCTAACCCAAGGATTACTTCTTTTTTTTTTTTCTTCAGTTTTTAAGACAGTATCTCATGTAGCCCAGATTTGACTGCTTCCAAGTCCTGGGGTGAAAGCATGCGTCACCACACCTGGCTCAGAAATCACTCCTAATGTTCCCAGAACTTTTCAGGTTTGGATGGTAGCCCACATCTGCAACCCAGCATTCAGGAAGTTCCAGGTCAGCCTGGGTTCCATAGCAAGACCCCGTCTCCAAAAAACAAAACCCTAACAACAAAACTAACACTTTCCCATCTGTTCCCATATTTTCTCTTCTCATGAGGCAGAAAGCCATGGCAAACGTCAAAAGCAGCCACAGAATTCCCCTTCACCTCTGTCTGTGTTCCTTCAAGTGTGACTCTGCAGGTGGGATTCCCCCAAGATGGCATCCAGACACGGAGCCTATTTCTCTGCGCTTGAAGCTGGCTGTGCACAGATTTGTTTTGATCAATGGGCCCTTAGCACAATTCACAGCAGAGACTTGCAAAGGGTTAGTCCTTCTTTGCTGCTGGCCATCACCCTTACTCAGCCTCAGCAAAGTGAGAGCCTCACAAAGGAAGGCCTCAGCCATGGCAGCCATCCCCCCACTAAAGCCCAGAAATATAAGCAAAATTACCCTAGAACATCCACCCCCAAGAACCGCCTCAGAGTCATGACCTCAGAGTCACAACCTCAGAGTCATGACCTCAGAGTCATGTCATGCAACCAATACTTTCATCTTTGAAAGTCACTAACTTCAGGGTGGTTTGTTATTTAGCAAAATCTAACTGGCATGGATACCTAAGTTCCTTTTTTAAGTATTAATTTTTCTTCTCTCTCTCTCTCTCTCTCTCTCTCTCTCTCTCTCTCTCTCTCGTTGTTGTTTTTCAAGACAGGGTTTCTATGTGTAGCCCTGGCTGTCCTTGAACTCAAAGATCTGTGCTGTGGGATAATGCTCTTGTACACTGTAAAGATTTGTCACTCAAATTGGTTTAATAAAATGCTGATTGGCCAGTAGCCAGGTAGGAAGTATAGGTGGGTGACCAGACTAGGAGAATTCTGGAAAGAAGAGCAGAGAAAGGAGTCACCAGCCAAAGAAAGCAAGATGAGAATACTGCATTGAGAAAAGGTACCAAGCCATGTGGCTAAACATAGATACGAATTACAGGTTAATTTAAGTGTAAGAGCTAGTCAGTAATAAGCCTGAGCTACCAGCCGAGCATTTATAAATAATATTAAACCCCCGAGTCAATTATTTGCAAAGTGGCTGCTGGGTATTTGGGAACAGGCAGGCAGGAGAGAAACTTCCACCTACAGATCTGCCTGCCTCTGCCTCCCAAATGCTGGGATTAAAGATGTGTGCCACCACCGTGCTTGGATTAATTTTTCTCATTTTTTATGCACCCCACACACTTTTTTTTGTTGCTTAGAATATTTGTTTTTTATTTTATTTATGGGAGAGGAGCAAGTGGGCAGGGTCCCAGTGGAGGTCAGAAGAGGGGGCTGGACCCCAGAACTGTAGTTACAGGCAGTTGGTAGCTACTCAGTGTAGGTTCTGGGAGCCAAACTCAGGTCCTCTGGAAGAGAAGCAAACATTCTTAACCACTGAGGCTTCTCTTCAGCCCCTGCTTGGTTTTTTTTTTTTTTTAGATTTCATGAAACTCAAGTTGCCCTCAAATGGCCTTGAAATTCTGCTCCTCTTCCTCCCAACCCCCAAATGCTGGATTGCAGGTGTGTACCACCATGCCCAGCTAAAATGTCCTGTAATAAAGTAATAATGCATGGTAGGCAAATGTCCTGACTTGAGCAAAATAAAAAGCTGATATTCCTGGGCACCAGACCCCCACATTTAAAATATTGTCTTCATTTTCGTTTATGTGTATATGTGTGTGCCTCTTTGTCTGTGTGTACACCACATGAACACCGGTGCCTGTGAGGGCCAGAAGAAGGCACTGGATCCCCTGGAATTAAGGACAGTTGCAAGCTGCATATGGGTGCTGGGAACTGAGCCCAGGTCTTCTCCAAGAACAGCAAGCACTGTTAACCACTGGCCGTCTCTCCAGCCCCACCCTGACACCACCCCACATTTTAATGTGAATTTAAATCGGTTCATAATCGAAAGTCAAGAACCACTGTCACATCGGCTTTAGCTGTAATACCCACCATCTAGCAGGGCTTTGACCCCATATGAGGTATGAATAAATGATTCAATTCCAGAGGAAGTAACTCCACCCACTCTGGAATACAGACTCCCTCTCCAGGGCTCCTCATGTTTCTCACCATCCAGCACAGCTGCATGTCCCTGTGCTACCAGAATCCTGGGCATCAAAATCTGTGCTACTTGGGGACACTTGTAAAACTGAATTCTTACAGCGGGAGCTGGAAGGACATCTCTGTGACCCCAGGAATCTGAGGCAGGAGGACTGCCATGACTCTAAAGCCACCATAGGCTACATAGTGAGGCTACATATCAAGACTTTGTCTTAAAAATCCAAAAGCATGAGCTGGGCAATGGTGGCGCACGCCTTTGATCCCAGCACTCAGAAGGCAGAGCCAGGTGGATCTCAATGAGTTCAAGGTCAGCCTGGTCTACAGAGTGAGATCCAGGACAGTCAGAGCTACACAGGGAAACCCTGTCTTGAAAAACCAAAATAAAATAAAAATAAAAATTAAATGCTTACTTGAAATTGATTAACTTAGGAACAGTACATACGACTAAGCTGCCGTTGCCACTCAGAGAACAGAACACCTGACCAGGAACCACAAGACCCACTCTGGACCTTGTTGTCCCAGCCTGTTCCTGTGAGCCTCTGGCCAGGCAAAAAAAACCTAAATTCCAGCACATCTGGCTTCTGCCAGCAACTGTTAGGGTAATACCCTTCCGTCACTGCTCCTCTGGGAGATAACTAGGGTCTCAACTTACAAAAGGGACTTCAAACCGGGCGGTGGTGGCGCACGCCTTTAATCCCAGCACTCGGGAGGCAGAGCCAGGCGGATCTCTGTGAGTTTGAGGCCAGCCTGGGCTACCAAGTGA